CAGCCAAACAATGGGCTTCAAGTTTAAAAGCTCGGCATCAACCTCGAGCTCAGCCCAACAATGGGCTTCAAGTTTAAAAGCTCAGCATCAACCTCGAGCTCAGCCCAGTGAAGGGCTTCAACTTTAATAGCTCGGCCTCGACCTTGAGCTTCAACTCAGCCTAATGAAGGGCTTCAAATTTATTAGCTCGGCCTTGGCCTTGAGCTCAACCCAATGAATGGCTTCAAGTTTAATAGCTCGGCCTCGACCTTGAGCTCAAACTCAGCCCAGTGAAGGATTTCAAGATTAAAGCTTGGCGTCGGCCTTGAGCTCAGACCAACAAAGGGCTTCAAGTTTAATAGCTCGGCCTCGGCCTTAAGCTCCAACTCAGCCCAGTGAAGGGCTTCAAATTTATTAGCTCGATCTCGGCCTTGAGCTCAACCCAACAAAGAGCTTCAAGTTTAAAAGCTCAGCATCAGCCTCGATCTCAGCCCAATGAAGGGCTTCAAGTTTAATAGCTCGGCCTCGGCCTTGAGCTCCAACTCAATCCAGTGAAGGGCTTCAAATTTATTAGCTCGGCCTCGGCCTTGAGCTCAGCCCAACGAAGAGCTTTAAAATTAAAGCTCGGCCTCATCCTTAAGCTCTAATTCAGCCTTAGCCATAGCTTCAGGCTCCGAGGTCAAAATGAAGACAGAAAAGGAGAGATGTGATCCTAAGAAAAGTATTACACCCCAATCTGAGATAAAAATGAAGTAGAAATTGGAGAGATGTGATCACAGCAAAAGCATCAAACCCCAATCCGCAATAAAAATGAAAACGGAATTGGAGAGATTTGATCCTAGCAAAAGGATCACACCCCGATCCGAAAAAAGAAGAAGAAGAAAGATGGAATTGGAGAGATGTGATTCTAGCAAAAAGGATTACACCCCAATCCGAGAAGACGAATTGGAGAGATCGTGATCCTAGAAAAGGATCACACCCCAATTTGAGATAAAAGAAAAATCGAGGCGGCATATGATGTCGGGCTCCTGTTCAAGATTTTGGCAACAAAGCCAAATGACAAAGTTTGCGGCCCAACAGGCCATCCTCAAATTAAAAATCCATCGCTAATGAAGCATTGCTTAAAGTAGAAAGCCACGGTATGCGAAGTCGGGCTCAAACAAAATATGGTAAAAAGTCTAGTCCAACAGTAAAGCCACGATACATTAAGCCGAGCTAAAATCAGAAAGGCAAAGATACTGCCTTCAAAAGTGTAGACAAGGCAAAAGCCAAGTCAATTTAAAGAAAGCCATGGTATCTGAAGCTGGGCTCAAAATGACGAAGGCAGAAAACTGCCCTAGTAACTTAATACTACAACAACAAAACCAAGTCGTTAAGGTTTTGGCCACAAAGGCCTAACAGGCTGGCCTCAAATCAAAAAGTCATCACGAATGAAGCGGGACTCAAAATAAAAGCCACGGTATACGTATTCGGTCTTAAAATCGAGGAGGCGAACTCCTCCTTCAAGAATCCAAGACTATGGCAAAAGAAGCCAAGTCCGTCAAAAACAAGAGAAGTCATGGTATTCGAAGCCGGACTAATCGTTCAAGAAGGCACGGAAGACCTTCCCAAAATTAAGATATATGCAGCAAGTCAAATCCAAAAGGGGGAAGTCGTAGTAAGAAAATTCGTGCTCCCTAAACCTTTGCAAAAGGTCAAATCCATGCTAATAGAGATCTCGGTATGCGAAACCGAGCCAAATCTGAAACCACGACACTTAACGCCAGGAAGTGCAAAGTCGGGTTAATTATTAAGGAGGCACGAAATGCCATCCTAAAAACTTAGGCGAACGCCTATATAAAAGACTGACTATAAGCCTAGTCAAAACTAAAAAACCTCAGCAAGAGAAGCCGAGCTCAAAGTCAACAAAAAAAGGCAAATACTGCCTCACCACTCAGAGACTTCAAGAGAAAAGAAGCCAATATAAAAAGCTAAGCCCATAAGAGGTAGTCACACCAGACCCAAGGCATAATCATAGTACCTCGGTAGGGTCGACCTATTAATCAAACTTAGGCACCCCAGCAGTTCGAGCTTCCAAACTACCGGGCTAGGGGGCAACTGTTATGGAATATTTCCATATCCTAACCACCTACCCAAAGATCCCTTAAAGGATAATTCTCCAATTATCTTAACAATATAAAACAGTAAGGCAGCTAAGGATAGAGTCTCTATCCCAATAGAAAGGAAGTTAAATCCTACTACAACTGGGAGATCTATACAAGCCCAAGAGGTAACCCTTATAAATAAAAGGTTAAAGACTCCAGGTGTACACTTTTAACCTATTTACTAATACTGACAACACTGTGCACACACCCACGTCTTGACTATAAGCCTATTGCTTGTGCGCAGTGATTGGGACATCGGCTATAAGCCAAGTATACATCAATTTATACAGTATATCTGAGCGCATACCATACGATATAGCAATACAGTCTTTCCAAGACCGAACAGATATAAATTTAATCAATTGCAATTATTTATAACTTAATTATATTTGATTATATTTTAATAAAAATCTGACTTTATTTCTTATATAGGAGAAACCAACATCTCAAGATGTTATATTGTGTATATGAATATGTTAAAAGGTTTTTGGGAGAGGTTATACTTACTACAAGCATCATGATGTGTTTGTTGGATTCATGTAGTTATTTTAATTTACATAATATGAATTTGTTTGTTGGATCTAATGAAATTTATGTTATTTAGTTTAAGCATTTTGTTTTTGAAACAAATTGTATGAGTTTTGTTGTGATTCATGATTTTGTTTGGACGTTGAAATTATAATTTTTGGTTTAGCAATAGAATTTGAGTATTTTGTAAAGTTGATTCATGGTTCTACTTGGAAGTTAAAAATTAACAGGCTAACGGATTAGGCCAGACCATTTGCTTTTTATAAACGGGTCAAGTCAAGCTAACAGTTAGACTCGTAATAAGCTTGGACCAGGCCAAACTGAATTTTTTTTACGTAAGCTTGGGCTTTTCGGGACAAAACTTGACCCAGCCCAGCCTACTTACACCCCTAGTCGACGTGTAGGGAAACAAATCTTTGATTAGAAAATCAATAGCCAAAAGGCAGAAGTGGTTGTTTAAAGAAATGGTGGTCCACAGAGCTAATTTGTAGATTAGCACTTTGTATAAAACTGACCGCAAAGCATGGAAACATAAATTTGAATGTCAAAGAGTATGGCATAAATTGTAATTGACGTCAATTCAAAAAATGGGGCAAAATTTTTTGGGAGTACAAGAAAGAAATAAATACAAGTTTCAATCTTGCATGTGTTTTCTTCCAAGTTGCAGGAGTCATTCATTCTTCATGCAGAACAAGAAATAAATAAATCAATAACTACGTAATATTCTAATCTCCCTATCCGTATTCAATTTGGCTCAACCACGCTACAGTATCATAGTTACTGCATTAATTATTATTTTAATTTTTTTTTATGTGATCTCATGTGTATCTTCTGCATACTAAATAATCCATAGAAATATTTACTGGGTTCTACAATTATATTATTAATCTAACGAGTAAAAAACACGTTAATAACTCTAGATAATTAGCTGGTAAAAGGACAAGAATTTGCCAATGGTAAAAAAGTAAGCTACTATTTCAAAACAATTTATGCAGACAGCATCAATTTGGCTTCACAACAATACTATAATATTTCACCCTTTGACTTAATTTATGTCATCAAGGAACTACAACCAGTAAAACTGAGATTTGAGTAAAGAAGATTTATTGTAAGGAATAAATTACCACAAGGACTGAGTTGAGAAGTAGCTTTTAATAGGTGCCACTCCTATCTGCACCCTGCAGTTAACTTGTGAGAAATCAGAATCTTTATCACATAGATTGATAAGCTTGATGAAACTTCACATGCCAACAAACAACACATGACCAGCAAAAGCTAAAAAATAAACACACACATAGGAAATCCTGGAAAATAGAAACCATTAACCCCACACACACACACACATATATATATATATACGAGGTAGGATCCTTTGACACCAGTGTCAAATTTCAAATTTGACACCTCATCTGATAGCCGTTAGATAACAAAAGATCAATGGCTCTGATTCGTAAGCATATGACATCATTGATCTTTTTTGATCTAATGGCTATCAGATGAGGTGTCAAATTTGAAATTTGACACTGGTGTCAAAGGATCCTACCTCTATATATATATATATATATATATATGAAAATGAAAATGAAATCAATATTAGCATACTTCCTTGACCTCAGCAAAAGAAGCAGAACTTGAAATACAAAAAGGCTATATAGGCTCTTCAGATTCAGAGTGGAAGACCTATGTATCAACACTTTTTGTGGTCCTTCCTTGCGTATTGCCTACATAAAAATATCATAGGTTCCTATCTTAACCCATGCTGCATAATAATTCTGATGACGAGGGGCCGTTAGATCCTTCCAACCCATATAACAAGTTAAAAGAACCACCACTCTTTTTGTCTACCTTCTTATTTCTGGTGATGTTGTTGGGGGGTTTTTGTCTTAGGTCGGTTTGATGTTTTCCTCGTGCAAATTTACCATTTTCGTTGCCGATAAAATCTTCTTCTTTTTTGTCTTCTGAAAATCCTGAAAAACTACACGATAATAACGTAACTGAACTCATAAAGGGATATATTTACATGAATAATTTTATATTGTTCTAAACGATAAATATTATTACTTTAAAAAAGAAAGAAAGATATAGCATTAATGATATTATTATATTGTAGGTGATGCATTAATTAAATAAAAGTTGAGAAGTTATATGTATTTGTCTTTGTCTTATTGTATCTTTTCCCCCTGAATCCCTACCATAGAATCTCTCTCCCAAAAAAATAGCCACCGAGTTCTAGCACTCACTGTCCTCACATGATTTCAACTCAACTAACCACTAAGCAGTAACCAGTAGCCAGCAGTGTCTATCTTAATGCTAACACAAAAACACCACTACCATAGCTCTTACTCGCACATGGGTGGTGTTGTAGCTTCTTTCTTCAAGTTCAAACCATTCAACTTCAGATTCTTCTTCTTCTTCTTCCTCCTCATTCTAATTGTTATATACGCAGAGGCCAACGACACCAGAGAAACGCCAACCCCAAATCCCAATCCTGATGGCACAGAAAAAACCTCCTCCGCGTTCAAACCAGGAATGGCCGTTGTGGTGGCCGTTTTGACAACCATGTTTTCTCTCACCTTCCTCCTCCTCCTCTACATCAAACACTGCAACGGCGCCGGGAATATCGACACCGGAGGAGGAGGTAACATTACAACTTCACGAGCGGTGCCACCTTTGACCGGAAGGAAAAACTCCGGCATTGACCGGTCAATAGTTGAATCTTTACCCATCTTCAGATTCGGAGCACTGAGAGGCCAAAAAGACGGTCTCGATTGCGCTGTTTGTCTCACAAAATTCGAAGCTGCAGAGGTTCTTCGGTTGTTACCAAAATGCAAGCACGCATTCCACGTCGAATGTGTTGATACATGGCTTGATGCACATTCCACTTGCCCTCTATGTCGTTACCGTGTGGATCCAGAAGACATTCTTCTAGTACAGGATCCTGCGAATTCGAAGATTTTAAGGCGTAACAACCAACAACAATATTTGGACATTGAAAGAGGGAGAAACTCGAATCACGAGATTGTAGAGTATCGGCGGAGGCATTCGTCGGTGGGAGAAAGTGAATCGGAACGTCAGAGCAAGAGAACGACGTCGTCGTCGTTTAGGAGGTCATTGGACAGTGCCACGTCGACAAAGAAGAACGAGAGCGTTGGTTGTTTTATCCGTCCCAGAAAAGACGGGATGTTGTTGGCACAAGAGAGGGACAGGACGAGCGTGGAACGGAGGTTGGAGCACCGGATTATTGTGTCGTCCACCCCACACAGGAACGGTGGGGTCCACCATCATCAACGGTGGAGCGATGTGCAAGCGTCGGACTTACTGTATCTGACGTCGGAGATGATGCGGTGGAACACGCGCGGCGCGAGAAGAGTGGTGAACAACGTCCGGGGTAGTAATGATGATGAGATTGAGTTGGATGAGGACAGTTGGAAGGGGAGGGGTATAATAAATTCGAGAAGCGTGTCTGAAATCACGGGATTGAGCAGGTTCTTGAGCAATAACATTAACAACAACCACAGAGAGTGGGAACAACGACAACAACAAAGGCACATGGAAAGAGAGGAAGGATTAGTGTCGAGGTGGTTGACTTGGATTTCAAGGTCACGGTCACAGCCAGCTGTACGGTAGTGGATGTATTTTTTTTTTTTTTGAGATTATCCCACGTAATCCAAATTGTTATCCGCTAATTCGGTGTTTGGAACAGATTTAACATTAATGTTTTAATCTTCTATCAAAAATGATGCGGGAGAAAATCTAATACATAATTACATCTTCATTTATGTAACTCTTATGCACTAACTGATTTATCATTATTTCACGAGGGATATAGTTATCGGATTTGGATCCTATTACGTGGAAGAAAAATGATCATGTTATTTGATCATAATCACTCATTTAAACATCATACACTCTTCTCTATTTTATTTCATCATCAATAAATGATTATGATCAAATAATATAATCACTCTTTCAAGTCCATTGTTATCGCTGCCTTCTCATTTATGATTCAGAGAGAGAACCTCTTCTGACTCACTGCGTACTGTTTTTTTTGAATCTGCCTCCCCTTGCGTTTGTATCTTAGCTTAGCTTAGCATTTGTTACTGAGAACAACACAACACAAAATAAACTTACTTTAAATTTTAAATTTAGAGTAAATATCTTTTTCGGTCCTTAGCAAATTTTGTGATATCTGTTTGAATTCTTAGCAAATAAAAAATTATTTGTAGTTTCTAAAAAATTTAAAATGGATATGTTTTAGTCCTTTTGAGGGATTATTGTGAATCTTTTTGAATTTATGAAGGATCACAATTTCAACTAAATAAGTCCATTTTAAATTTTTTAAAAATCACGAATAGTCTTTTTATTATCTATGGACTAAAACAGATATTGTAAAATTTACTTAAGAGCAAAAAAGATATTTATTCTTAAATTTATTTTATTATTATTATTATTTGTTGCTTTTTAAATTTGAGATATGGGATAGAATAGAAGGAATAAAGTAGAAGAAATAGAGAGGGGAAAAGACGTAAAAGAGAGAGAAGCGCGGATACCGAAGCGTATAGTAAGGGGAGTGGCTTGGAATTGAAAGTCACTACGAGAAGCACGTGATACGATGATCCCTTGTCCTGTCTGTCTTCGCAGTTTCTCAATTATATCATTACTTTCCCCTCCTCACTCTCGATCTATGCATTCATGCTCTTTGATAGACACGGACATCCGGTAATTTATTTTAGGGTTTATTCGCTATTTCTTAGGAGGCGTTTGGTACAGTAAATTTTTTTATTTATTCGGAAATCTCAATTTTCAAAAATTTGATTTTTGCATTCAGTTTATGATAATATCCAAAAAAAATATACAGTGCAGTGCTTATGGAAAATTTCTTTGGAAACCTACATCAGTTTACTAAATTAGAAAATTTGAGTTCCACTTACATCCAAATCTTCTTGTATATTTTCATCCAAAGCTTTGTACTTTACCTTTTATAGAAAGAATATACAGTGCAGTGCAGTAGTAGTACCAAAAATTTGTTAGTGCTTTTGGTTTTTGAAAAAAAAAAAAATTAATAAGAAAAAATATTTATTCTTTTAAAGATTGATTATTTATATTAAAATTAATATTTTTAAAAAAAAATTAAATTAAAAAAAGTATTCATTTTCTTCCTCAAGGGTTTGCTCTGCTAGGGTTTCTTGGATCCCTCGCCGCCATGCAGCCACCCAACGTTCGCGAACTGGATCTGGCACCGGATGAATCAGATAATCTGCATAGGAGTAAAAAGAAATACAAGGGAGAAGGTCATTTTTCAAGCGAGCAAACACCTGTCCAAAGGGAAGAGGCATGCATGGATGGATGGGCAGACGAGCTTCAAAGAAATCCTCATGAGGCATAATGGGGAATGGGATCTGGATGAAGAAAAAGATTTGGAAGAGAGGAACAAGATGCTCCTGGATGGGATTGAGCATGATGCGCACGTTCAGGAGAAAGAAAATGACCATGAGAAGATGGAGGAGCCGTCAGAAGTTACGTTAGAAGTGAGGGAGGATGGAAAAACGAATTTCAAACTCTCTGCTCTTTTCAAGCAAAAGGCGTGGAAGCCATGGCAGCAGTCGCTGATTATTAAGTTGCTTGGGAAGAAGCTTTCGATCAATTTTTTGAGGAAGAGACTGGATAACATGTGGTCAAGAGATGGCAAAATCTTCGTAACAGACATTGAGAACGATTTCTTTCTTGTTCGGTTTGAAAAGAAGTCAGATATGGAGCATGTTTTATCAGGAGGTCCTTGGATTTTTTTCGATCATTATTTGGCAATACGATCTTGGGAACCAGATTTCAATGCTTTCCAATCTCCTATTAATAAGATCACTGCGTGGGTGAGGCTGCCAGGGTTTCCTATTGAGTACGTGAACACCCCTCTGATAAAAAAGTGTTGGAGATTGGATAGGCAAGTTTATTCGCTTGGATACTGCTACAACAAATCTTGCTAGGGGTAAGTTCGCCAGAATTTGTGTGGAGGTTGATTTAACCAAACCTCTAAAAGCGGAATATTTGATTGAAGGAAGATATAAGCAGGTGGAATACGAAGGTCTTCATCTCATTTGTTACTCTTGTGGCAAGTATGGCCATAGAGCTGAATCATGTAACAGCAACTTGGGGTCGAATGGTGTGGCTGAAGGCGAACGAGGAATGGCTATTGATGTAGATGGTCATATGGATAAGGGGACAGCTGGGGTTGAGGAGGACAGGCAAGAAGGCTTCGGGCCTTGGATGGTGGTAACTAGAGAAGGAAAAAAAGGAAGAGTTGTTTCTGGTAAAAGGGAAGGTGGAGGAGGAAAGGAGGCGATAGGAAGCAATACTAACTTTGAACAAATATCGAAGGAGGATAAACATGAAACAAAAGAAAACAATGAAGCTGCTAATGTTCAACGCGTTGAAGGTTTAGAGAAAGCAATTATTTTGGTGGATGAGAAGAAGACTCGGACTTCAAGCAGACAGAAAAGGCAAGGATCCAATGATAGAGTTAGGCTTGTGGGAACTCAAAATGCTTTCAATCTTGTTTGGGACGATATTATGAGTCAAGACAAGGAAGAAGAGATAAGTTTGATTGATCAAAAGGAAATTTTCAAAAGGATTCAAAACGCAGTGCATGTGCGTTTAAATCCAACTTTTGATGGAACTAGGGAAGATGCTAGTTTAGGGCAGTTGATGGTGGAAAATACAAAAATAAGTTTGACAGGTACTGCGTCAGATATGCATGTACAACACGTTAATCAGGCTTCAGATGGTAGGGGTAGAGTGCAACATTTGAAACCTCCTGATACAAAAAATAGGGGGCACAAAGAGAGCAATGCCAAGCCGAGAGCCATAGTCTCCCAACGTGGAGTAGGAAGGAATTTAACTGGTCGGTTGTCTCAGGTGCAATCTCAGCCTGGATCTTCCAATAAAGGTATTTAATGTCTTTACTTTTTTGGAATTGTAGAAGTGCGGCCAAACCTTCACTCGGTCGAATTCTAAGGATGTTAGTAGATAAACATGATATCTGTATGGTGGTTTTATTAGAAACTCATACTGGTAGTGTAAACAATAGAAGGCTAATGAAGAAACTTCAGTTTAGTTCTGCTGTCTTTGAGGAGGCTAATGGTTTTTCGGGTGGTATTTGGGTGTTGAGTAACGATAAAAAGGCAAGAGTGCAGCTTTTGTCTCAGTCGAATCAGTTTATTCATATGACTGTGAAGATTGATGATGGTCCTAGTTTTCTTTGCACGGCTGTTTATGGCAGTCCTAGAGAAGACGAAAGGCAAGTTATGTGGGATGACGTTAAGCAATTGAGTCTCAACGTTAACCTTCCTTGGATTTTAGCTGGTGACTTTAATGACATAAAATGCATGGGGGAGAAGAAGGGAGGTTCTCAACCTGATTCGAATAAATGTGATAGGTTTGCAGGTTTCTTAAATGATTGTCATGTGGATGATCTTATCAGCTCTGGCTCTGAATTTACTTGGCAAGGCCCAAAGTGGAACCACTTGCAAAGAGTTTATAAAAAGTTAGATAGAGCAGTTGTTAATGTGAACTGGAGAATCTGCTTTGAAGATGCTGAAGTCCGAATTCTTCCAAGGCATCAGCCCGATCATAGTCCCCTTCTTGTGAAATTCTCCAATCGTCCCAATCTTTGGCAAGATAGACCGTTTCGGTTTATTGCTTCTTGGTTAGACCATCCCAACTTCAACGATCTGATGCAGGATAAGTGGAATAAGAACGTTGATTTTAATCAGATGCTCAATAGATTTGTTCCAATTCTTAAAAAGTGGAATAAGGAGGTGTATGGAAACATAGGTAGAAGGAAGAACAATTTGGTTAATGATATTGCCTCTGTCCAATTAAAGAGGTCTGTTGCGGATAGTCCGAATCTTCATGAACTGGAAATCAGTTGTCAAATTAGTCTTGATCATGTGCTGGAGGAGGAAGAATTGTTGTAGTTTCAAAAATCCAGACATAATTGGATTATGGATGGAGATAAAAATATGAAGTTTTATCACTTGCGGACGGTTATTAGAAGAAGCAGTAACAAAATTTCAAGGTTACGTAGTGAGACCAACCAATGGATTGAAAAAATGAATGAGTTAAAGGATCATGTCTGCAGTTTTTATAAAACTTTGTTTACAGAAGATATCGAAGAGTGAAGATGGCTCGCGTCTGCCAACCACTGGACGTCACTGTCTAACGCTCTAAAGGATGATTTGATCAAAGTTCCTAGTATGGCTGAGGTCACTAAGTTATTGAATGGCATGAATACGTTTAAGGCGCCGGGTCTAGATGGCTTCCCTGCAATTTTCTTCCAAAAACAATGGAATCTTGTGAAGGATCAGGTTTATAATGTTGTTATTGATATGTGGTCAAATCCGGATCGAGTGGAGGAGTTTAATAATACCCTTCTCGTTTTGATTCCGAAAGTTAAGAGGCCAGACTGCATCTCTCAGTTCAGGCCTATTTCCCCTTGCCCTGTTTTATATAAGATTCTGTCAAGGGTGATTGTTCATCGGTTGAAGCCAGTTATGGATAAATTGATCTCTTCATCTCAGGTTAGCTTTGTTCCGGGAAGACAAATTCAAGATAACATTGTGATTGTCCAGGAGCTTATTCACTCAATGCATAAAATGAAAGGTAGGAAAGCTTTTATGGCAGTGAAGATAGACTTAGTCAAAGCTTATGATTGGGTTTCCTGGAATTTTTTACGTAGAACTTTGGAGGAGATTCAGTTTCCCATGTCGTTCATTAACTTTATCATGCAGTGTGTTCAAACCTCCAAGATCAGTGTCCTCTGGAATGGTGGTAAAACTGAGGATTTTAGGCCTTCACGTGGTATTCGGCAAGGTGATCCTCTATCACCATATCTTTTTGTTATTGCACTAGAAAAGTTAACTCATATTATTAATACTGTCGTGCTGGGTGGTCTGTGGAATCCGATTCGGGTTGGTAATGGGGGTCCTCGTCTTTCCCATATTGCTTTTGTCGATGATTTAATGCTTTTTATGGAGGCTACGGAAGAACAAATTGATGTGTTATTGCATTGCCTGCATTTATTTGAGGAAGTATCTGGGCAGCGTCTTAGTGTTGATAAAACAAGTGTTTACTTTTTCAGGAATGCTAGTGAAGATGTAATATCTAGAATCACGCAAAAAAGTGGCTTCAAGCACGTGAGGAACATGGGCAGATACTTAGGATCCATGATGCAGCATGGGAGAGCGTCTAAGGAGTTGTATGCAGGGATCATAGAGAAGGTAAGAGATAAGATGAATGCTTGGAATCAACAATCTCTTTCGCAGGCAGGCCGCATCACATTGTCTCAGTCGGTTGTGGCTTCCATGCCTTATTTCCAAATGCAAAGTTGTAAGATTCCATTGTCTGTTTGTAATGAGATTAAGAAGCTGCAGAGAAGTTTTATTTGGGGTGATAAGGAAGGAAGGAGAGCTAATCATCTTATTAATTGGAGTACCATTACGAGTCCTAAGGAGGTTGGGGGTCTCGGCTTGAAACGACTGGAATTTATGAATGATGCCATGCTTGCTAAGAGAGTTTGGAGCTTCTCAAACAAACCAGATCATCTTTGGGTTCAGGTTCTGAAATCTAAATATGAATCAAGGAGTTCGAGAGCTGCGGGTTTTATGGCTTGTAATGGTGACTCTTCCTTGTGGAGGAATATGTGCCGTATTTGGAGGATGATGGAGGGGAGGCTTAGATGGGAGGTTGGTGATGGTAGGACTGTTTCCTTTTGGCATGATAATTGTCTCACTTTGGCGCAGCCTCTTCGTGAGCTAGTCACATCTCCGAATTTGGATGTTAATGATGTCATGTGTGTTGCTGATATGGTTAACTCTAATGGAGATTGGAATTATGATTCTTTAGGCCTTTGGTTCCCGAGAGATGTCATTGATATTTTTCGTTGGACATTAACTCCAGGTGTAAATGATGGTCCTGACAGCAAGTATTGGGATCTTGATGGTGAGAACACCATAACAATAAGGGAAATCTATAAGACTCTTGTTGGCCAAGAGTTAATCTCGGGTTTGGCTGATGGTAGATGGCAGTGGGTGTGGGATTGGAATGGTCCTAAAAGAATCAAGTTGTTTATGTGGAAGGTTTGCTACAAAAAGCTCCTCACTCGAAGTAGGATTGCTCTTTGGGAGACTGGCACTGAATCATGTCCTATTTGTAGGGAGGAGAGTGAAACCTTGTTACATGCGATTCGGGACTATCATGAGGCTAAGTCCGTTTGGTCTCATTTTGTGCCTTCGGACAAGTTTGCAAACTTCTTCTTTGGTGATGTTGATCATTGGTTATCGGTTAATATGGACATGGATAAGCATGGGATTATGAATGGTTGGAGGAATTGGTTTTTGTTTATTTGTTGGAAAAATTGGAAGTGGCGTAATGAATTGGTGCATGACTCGGCTTTTCCTTGCTTAAATGTGAGGAAAGGGACTATTTGCAGCTCTGTGAGGGACATTAACAATGCTTTAGCTAGTGCTCAGGAGAGGCTTCCAGTAAAGTTTTCAATGAAGATGGACATTACTTGGCAATATCCAACAGATGGGTCAGTAAAAATTAACATAGATGGTGCAGCTAGAGGTAATCCTGGCCTAGCTGCTTGTGGGGGTTTGATTCGTAATTCTCAAGGGAGATGGCTGGGGGGTTTTGCTTACAAATTGGGGGTTTGCTCTTCTTTTAAGGCTGAGCTCTGGGGTGATCTTCGTGGTTTGGAGCTAGCTTGGAACGAAGGATTTCATAATATAATCATTGAGAGTGATTCATCTAGTGTGATCACTGTGCTCACCAAGTCTGGTGTAGTAGTCCGTGAGTGTCATCTGATTGCTCGTATACGGACATGGATCAATAGGAGTTGGTCAGTTACTTTGATGCATACTTATAGAGAAGGAAATGTCTGTGCTGATTGGTTGGCGAATTTTATTCTGGATTCAGATGATTCCATTACTTATCAGTTTTGGAGGGATCCTCCTCCTGGCATTCTTCATCTTCTCCGTGGTGACTTTACTGGTGTCAGGGAAGTGAGGTGTAGGATTTAGTTTTGGTTTTGGTTGTCTTTGTTGTTCTTTTGGCTTAGGCCTTCTGTTTACCAAAAAAAATAAAAATATCAAACCTTTTTAATAATATACATAATATAAAAGAGAAATAAAATTTCTACCAAAGGTTGACTCACATGCTTAATTCTGCTTAAGCACGATCTTTGATTCAAATTCTTGTGAATACAAAAAATCTCTCGAGAGAGAATTAGCTCCACCGAGATGCCAATGTTTCCGATTCGAACAGAATTACTTCCGGTAGAGAATATTTATAGTTTATCCAAAAAAAATAAAAATATTCAAAAAAATTATTAAAATATTTATATTTTTTTTCCCTAAATCTTAAAGGGGAAGGATATTGTAACAAACAAGTTGTGTTACTACCATGTTACTACCAATCAATCTCACCGTTAGATCGATTATGTTGATCCAACAGTTATATTTATTTCCATCTTTGTATGGTCATGATTTCTCAAATTTAATACTTTATATTTATTTCCATTTTTTATGGTTATGATTTCCTATATTTAATGCTTTTACTTTAAATATGGGGAATCATAACCATACAAAGATGGAAATAAATATAACCGTTGGATCAACAAAATCAATATAACGGTGAGATTGATTGGTAGTAACACAACTTAGTTGTTACAATATCCTTCCTCAATTTTAAAATAATGTTATTTTGAAATTGATAAAGATAATTTTTATCAGAGAAACATATTTTCCCTTTCTCTATAGTAAGATAACTTTATCTCCTGATAGAAAATATAGAAAGTGAAAATTTTGTATTAAAGCACTTCAAGTTATCCATAAGCGGCTATAAAAAATTGTTCTGCATTTAATGTACAAGTTGTGATTGTCAAAGAATTATAACTGTAAATATATTAAATATTACTTATTGAAATTAGAATTACAAGACGACAAAGAATATAAATTAAATAGAAACATCTGAGTTTTATCTAGTTAGATGTCACTAGTTAACAATTTTGTATAACAAACTTTCCAAATTGATTTAGCTAGACTCTCCAGAAATATAGTATTTACAGTAGTCACAAGTTTGTCGTAATTAAAAAAATAAATTGTAAATATTTATAGATTAAGAAAAGAGCACTAAAGGTCATATTTTTACGATGTCTTGTAATGGGTAACTAACTATTCTCAACGCACCATTGGACAAGTTATAGTAAGCCTGAATGAAGCAGATATGCCACAACGAATCATAAGGGTGATCATGGCAGGTATGTTGGGTTTAGTATGCTCTTTTCACGTAAGCCCAATAGCTATAGTGAGAATGAACCCAAATTCTAATTTTAACTCATGAAGCTTAGGGTTAGTTTTGGATTGGACAGGGTATATAAACTCTCTTTTCTCTCTAGTGCCTCAAAAGGGTTACAGGCATCAGAAACACACCAAAGAGGCAGGCGTTCATCATCTGAATGGTTGCCCACACGACCTCTTGATCCCCTTGAGTCATAGCCTGGAAGATCAACCGTAGAGTGAAATTGCGACCATTCGTGGTGTGTTGTTGCAGATCGTAAGGCTTGAGAAGGAGAACTGAACGTGAAAAATTGTCACGCTCGCTACTTCACCCCAGGTAATCAAAACAGTGTCTCTCTTCTTCATTGCAACGGTACGATGCGCTTCCGCGTTTCTGATGATAAACCTTCATGTGGTATCAAATCCAGATTGTGATGGGGATTAAGATCAGTTTTGATTTATTTATTCTTTCTATGTGATTTTTGAAAATATGGCACCTTTATTCTGTATCTGTTATTTATTTTCATGTTGTTGATTCTTTATAGTTCTTTTTCACAAAAGTTTAAATTTTAATCGGTAAAAATGCTTTAATCCAAGGTTAGGGTCTCTCGTGTATTTCTCGATTTGTAACAAGGAGG